AGGGAGGCAAGTCTCAGAATCTCTTACTCAAGAGGCGTATAATGAATATGACTTTACATTTTAAAGTTTATGTTGGGGAACTTGTTACCTCAGATCGTGGCATGTAGAGTTTTCACCTAGGTTATTAATTTGAGTCAGGTACAGGCTGGCAATGACTGAAAGTAGTTGCTGTTTAATGACAGTTCAATGGCTGATGAGAAAATAAGTTAGTGGTTTGTCTATTTCCAGTTCGACAGTTGTCCACATCACAGCTAACACAAATTGGCACCATTGTTCGAATATAGGGACAGAGCCAGAGGACTGAACTAGCTCCCTCCTGACAGAGGTGACCTCCAGAACAGAGAACTCGCAGGCAGAGATGTGTATGAAAGTTTTCAGTACTGCTTTCCATGCTATCCCTTTGTGGTGGATAACCAGAAGACCTAATTTTTCAGGATCATTAAATTGGTACTTCACACAGTCATTAGACATTAAATTTAGAATGTTCTTTGGTGTCTTTTTTTCTTGTGGGAGCAAGATGATATGGGGGAAGGTACCTAATTATTTGAGTAGTTACATTACTATCAAACACACATGATAATGTTGCCAGTGTGTCTTGCATTGTGAGATATAATTAGTTCTTTTTTTACCTTACACAAACACAGGTTCTCAAGTATTTTTTATCAGTGACCTGGAAGAAAACATAAAACCGTCACTCATAAAAGATGCAGGTGACACAAAGAATGGTGAAGTAGAGCCTGGTCTACACCATGGGGGTAAGTCGGCTTAAGTTACGCAACTCCAGCTACATGAATAATGTAGCTGGAGTCGATGTAGCTTGGGTCAACTTACTGCGGGATCTACACCGCACTGGGTCAATGGGAGAAGGTCTCCCGTCAACTTACCTTATGCTTCTTATTCCGGTGGAGTACCGGAGTTGACAGGAGAGTGATCTGCAGTCGATTTAATGGGTCTTTACTAGACCCGCTAAATTGACCCCCGGTGCATCGATCGCTGCAGCGTTGGTAAGTGTAGATATACCCTAAGTAAGGATGCAGACAGGTCACTGATGCAGAGCAGTCTGGATCATTTAGTAAGCAAATGTATTTAATGCAGCTAACTCTAAATGTATACATCTAGGAACACAAAATGCAGGCCATACTTTGAGAATAGGGGACTCTATTCCTGGAAACAGTCACTCTAAAAAAAACCCTTAGAGTCATGGTGAGTAATCAGCTGAACATGAGCTCCTAGTGCAATGCTGTGGCAAGAAGGGCAGTAAGACTAAATGAACCCAGTGGTCCTTTCTGGCAGTAGAATCTATGAAATATCATTTACAATATAGAATGTCAAAGTCAGCCACAATCACTCCCTTTCATGGCTGCTAAGGTTTTTTCATCCCTATTGGTATCTTTTGCCAAATGAGGGCAGCTGGGTATGATTTACTAAAGTCTATCATTAAATGCTTCTCTCATGTGACAACCATGACAGTGACTACACAGACTGTCATATACAGTAACTCCTTGCTTAACGTTGTAGTTATGTTCCTGAAAAATGCTACTTTAAGTGAAATGATGTTTAGCGAATCCAATTTCTCCCACGCACATTGCCCCTTTAAATACACTGATCACACTCTAAGTAAACTGCCTTTTTAAGTAGATCAGCAAGTTGAGACCGCAGCTGCTGTCAGCAAGCTCCCTCGGTCCTGAGCCCGCCTGTGTCCCCCCCCTGCTCTGTGGAGATGGGGGGGGAGGGAGACACCCTGACATTAGCCCTCCTCTTCCCCCCACCCCCCGCGCACATCAAGCAGGAGGCTCCCGGGAGCAGCTCCAAGGCAGAGGGCAGGAGCAGCACAGGGCAGTGGGCGGAGGGACACCTGAACTGCCCGGCAATTCATAGCCTGCTGGGCAGTTGCTGCACAAGGAACTTAGGGGAGCTGATAGGGGGGCTGCCGGTCCACCCTGATTCCAAGCCCCCACCAGCTAGCTCCAACGGGCTGCTTTTCCTGCAAGCAGTGGATAAAGCAGGCAGCTGCCAAACAATGTTATAAGGGAGCATTGCACAACTTTAACCGAGCGTGTTCTCTGATTGATCAGCAACGTAACAATGAAACAACGTTAACTGGGACTATGTTAAGGGAGGAGTTACTGTATCACCAGATTCCAATGGGCTTTTATGCTAGTGAGGTTGGAGGGACAAGGATATCTTTTCACCTTGCTTGGCCCATGTAAGGATTACGTTTTCAAAGGCAGGTTATTTCTTTATCACTCTTTGCTTTATTATGAGAGCCCCTAGAAGATGATTTTTTTTTTTGTATTGTGACTGTTAGTATGCAAGGCCTGGTCCTCTGATTCAGAACAGCGAAATAGGAAGAATTTCCTTTCTACACGTTCTTCTGGTTGCATGTTTTGTTTTTTCTGTTGGAGGAGACTTTGTGTGTAAACTACTCCATACCAGCTGCTATACTAACATAACTGTTAAGGTAGAAGGATTATGCAATGTGAAATTCCCTCCCTCTGCATAAAGTCAATCTAATGGAACTTTCTCTCAGGAACTCCCTGCTTGAAAACGTGGAAACCCTCCCTCTAATCTAGAAGGAGACTTCAGGGCTACTGAGTCACCCTCTCTAGGCAGCAATTGGCTGGAAAGCATGGGTTTCCAGGTTGTTTGGTACATATAATTGTTCATCCTCTGGTCTCTTCAGGGCCAATCTCCAAACTGCCCTTCTGTGCTAGCCTATTCAGGGGTGACATGAAGACCACCTCCATGGGTACAAAGACCTATTACACAATCCCTCCATTCATAGGCTTACCAGAAACATTTAATAGCACAGAGTACATGTTGGGTGACACTCTGGTGAGATTTTACTATATAGAATTGTGCATGTCATTCCAATGCAAGGGACATTTAAAATCCTGTGAATAGAAATACAACACACTTCTGTTGTGAGGATCAATCTGGGACTTTCTTGTTCCAAATAATCACTGTATGAACATCTGTAAAACTCTTTGACTCAGGCAGGATTGTTAGAAGCAAAATCAACATCTTGCTGAATAAAACAAGTTCTCTATGACATTTTAATTCCAAGGCAGATCAATAAATCATAATTGCCTTGAATTGGCAAGTCTACATGCTGTAAGTTTTTTTGTTTGTTTGTTTGGTGTTTTAGCATCAGCTGAAAGGCACTCAAAAGTGCAAAATTCTCTTCTGACTTCGAGAGTTCAAAGTAAATGATTTCCAATCTGAACCAATCAGCAGATGTAAGTCTGATTACTATAAGCAAGGGGTAAACACTTAAGAGCTGGTTTATGGAAAGCAGGATTAATCTATCTAGAAAATGAAATGATCACTGCAAGCAATATTGTTTGCATACCAAGTTTCATAATATATGAGGTGGGGGTCTACATGTGCATTAAGCACATTCCTTTCCTCTTTCAAATCCTTCCCTAAAACTTACTACTTTGACTTAGTCTCCCAGTGCGATCTGTTTGGCAATGTCCTAATCTCAAGCCTGAAATAGAGTTGTATGTGTTGTAATTATCTGAGGACCTGACTTCAGTGGATGTTTGATGTCTGGATTAGGTGCTTCCTTATTGCCTGATTCTTCAAATCTTTGCAAGAGCAGTCCTACTGACTGTAAGGGGTCTTCAGTGGGGCTACTTACATAATTGGGATAATTTATATAATTAAGGGTTTGCATGATTAGTCTTTCATACTAGTGGTGAGTATTTCCCCTTGCCTTCCTAAAGCATTATTTATTGTATAAATAACTAATGTTGTTTTCTTCTTTGCCGGTGGCAAAAATGTTCAAGATTTGAAGAACTGCTGTATATAGATTTACATGAAATACTTTGTTTTTAATCCAAAGTCCTTACGTCATAGGCTAACGTGCCATCAGCAGGATTTGTATGACAAAAGGTGCATTAATCTGGTTCAGAATGATACATATAATTATGATGTAAATATGCAATGTTTATAGGCAGCAGAAATTACAACAAGACAGACTTTTAAAGATTATGCTTTATAATATTGTTTGTCAAAATAATGCCAATAGACAGAAAACCTCTGAAAAATAACTTTATTATCCTAAATATAGTTGCATTATGCTAGAAGTATCTCATTTCATTTTAGTCAATCAGTATTCTCCATACACACAAAAAAACCCCATTGTTTTCTGAAAATCTCATTGTTTAGTAATGACAATACTATGATTGCAGAAAGTAAAATTTACTACTCATAAAGCTTAAATAAATTTTAATTATATATTAGTCATTCTTTAAGAAATAGGTAACCAGGTCATTTAGTTGTAAGTGTTTCAGGTATTACCAGCAATTAGAAAGTTCATATATGTGAACAAGTTTATATGAAATGTACCAGTATGAAAATCTAGGTTTCTTTTAGCATTTAAGTGCTATAGATTTTGCAGTTAGTAAGAACTATAGGTAAGGTGACAGTAAAAGGAGTTTATGTGCATATACTACATACTTATATGTAGCTCTGTAAAATCTTTAATATATATAACAGATGTGTGATTTTTTTGGTCTCAAATGTGTTTGTATATAAGATTTTACTGAATGTGTTGGTATACTTGTGAAGTGTAAAACTGCACTGGATGTGTATACACTGAACATGTTTTGTGACCCTTGTGTATATATAAAATCTCTCTCACACACGCACACACACACACTGGTAAATCAATTGACATTTTAAAGTACACACACATAATTTTGTTCTGAATGTTTGTTAATATATAGTCAATCAATTCTGATTGCCCAGTCGCCAGTAAACAAAACTTGAGTTCCTCTGTCTATTAACTGATAACATATGAAACGTTCAAGTATGCAAATACTGTGCACAATGGGGCGTTTATCATTATCTGGGAGTGCTATTAAATAAATACAGAATGATCATTATTAAATCATTCTTCAGTTTCATTACCAGCAACAACCACCTGCTAATGAAAGCCCTGCTGGAAGAAATATGTATACAATCATTACTCCAAGTCACGTTAGACTGATAAATGAAAGGTTAGATGGGACATGGCCCTAGCAACCAGATTTCTTCTCCAAGCAAGAGGCAGCATCTTACAGTGTTATCAGTGTTATGGACAGTGATGCACCTGCTAGCTTTCAGGGAGCATCACAAGTGTTGTTTCTGTGAGCGAGGACTCTCACTAAGCCTATTTTACTCAATCTGTGAAGCAGAGGAGCTGCCTTCCACACAGGAGGGCTGTGGCTATTGCAGTGAATACTGCATTCAGAAGCAGTGGCAGGAGAAAACAGCGATGGGTGAAGTTACCGGCACATAAAACACCAGGATGCTTACTATTCTCAATTGTTGATGATGTATTTGAACAGGAATAGGGAAACTGACTCCCATTTTGCTGAAATAGAATTGAGATGCAGAGGGAAATAACAGCTAAGAAGAGCAAAATCAGTTTTATGCTAATAGCTAAGTTGTAATAGAAAAAAAATACATTTAATGCTGTCTAGGGAACACGATGGAATTTAAAAGAACAGATTCCATTGCAGACTAACAGCATGCCTGATTGCACTTGACTTGAATCACTGTGAAGCAGCTTCATGTTGTGTTGTACCATTTTATGGCTGAATGAAGAATTGGAGAATAGGAATGGGGTTATGTAAAGTATTTCTGCATAAAAGGAAAATATTATAGAGCTATTATGTATTTTTTTTTTATTTTTAAGAAGAATTTAATCCAGGTATGTACTCTTTCTACTATAGCACTCAGTAAGCAGATATTTTATGTATTTCCTTTGTTTCTCCTCCTCATTTTCATTCTCAGTGTACCTCCCACTGTTCTAGCTAATGTAATGCATTGATTGGTAATGGCTTTTTTTTCTAATGCTAAAATGTTGGTGATGCTATCAAAGCTTGCAGACTTTGAGTCAACACTTTATTAAAATGCTTTCACTTGCAATGTTATGATGGTGCTAAGTTCACGCGGCAAGATCAGTGAAATACCTTTGACAGAAAATAGATGTGCAGGAGGCGCCTCAGTTCTTTAACTCTGATTTAATTTTAAACAGAGTTAGAGCATTTTAAAGACAATGTTGAGAAACAATTTAAAAAACAAAATGGAATGACTGAGAGATCTGAATCAATAGCCAAGATGTGGTATGTTTTGATTGTATTGTTCAATACTTTTTCTAGTTCATGATAGGATTAGCAATAAATCGAGCTTTACAGATGCTTATGCATTTCTGGGTCTTGATTAATCTTTCAAGATGAACACCCTGCAGCTTTGCTCTGAAGGGACAGCTTTGCTTAGAATGTAAGCTTGATTCTGTTTCACAACTATGCTCATGTATAAGAATGCTATCTTCTTCCTCCAAACCCCATAGCCTAACAAAGAGTAACCATTTCATACCCTTGCGGATGTCACTGCAGATTCAGTAAGAAGGCATCTTTAAACAATAAGATGGTATAGTATTTACCACCTTCAATTTCCAGAGATTAGCACTTACTTAGTGTTTTTACTGTAAAAGGGTGCCTGTTTTTTATTTTGTATAAGGGAAGAGAAAGTTATTTGAAGCTCAGCTAGATGCTAGAGTGTTCATTGACCCTTCCTTCTACTTTCTTTGAAGTATTTAGACTGAGCTCCCATGTTACTTTTGGGTGAACAATAATTTTTTTTCCCACTGATGAGACTGAATATATTATTTGGAGTTCAGACCAAATGCAAATCCATGTGTCTTTAAAATGAGGGGACTAATACTTGCTTTTGATGGGCATGTCTGGTAAAATATATCTGAAACACAAGCATTTAAACCTCATAGAACAGTAATGTCCATTTGCTTTTTCAGCCCTGACATCTTTCAAAACATTCAGTCGGCTGCTTAATTTGCCTCCTGGCAATTTTTAAAGTAACATTTCTTCATAACACTTTGTGATACAAAGGGTTAATGTCAGTTTCAGATTCTTAATAACGACATTACCTCTTAGATTTCAGTAGTTCTTGTGCCTCGAAAGCTTTTTTTGGCAAATAGTATTTGACTGTGTGGTAACGTGTAAAACCCCTATCCTAATTATAAAGTTTAACCATAATTCAGAATGAATGATAAATATGAATGGCAGATGTTTGTATTCTGAATTTTGCTGTCAGTGCTGATATAAACTAAATATAGTCACCCTTTTTAGTATGTTATGCCTTTTATTTACTAAATGGTACAGTATCTGAGTAATAGAAGTTAAGAATACTGATAAATATGAAAGTTCTAAAATTAGTTCTGATTCTTGCAATGTAAACAGTCCATATACAAGTAAATATGTCTAGAAAAAAATACCACTCTGCCTAAAAGTTGTAAGGAACGTGTATTATAGTTAGCCTAGATAAAATGTGCAACCTCTTCATACTGCTTTTTTACACTGAAAAGCATGTCATGAAAACCAATGTCGTTAACCTTCACTTGCAGAGATTTCATATCGACGCAAACCTGAGTTTAAAAAAAACCTTGCACAGCAAACCATTTAATTTTCTATTTTCTATTTGCTCATAGCTGGAGGTATATGTACCCATGTATGTGTTTTCTTCTTGACTATGTCTCTGATCCTGCAGTTAAGTCATAATGCTTTGCTGATATCATTGGGGTCTTGCTGTGAAAATGCTGTGACATCACATATGTAATGCTGGGACTTTTGGAGCAGAAGCAAGGAGAAGGGAATGACTGCGACTTTAAAACATCATTTATAATTAACAAAAGTGTCGATGAACTCTGAATATTGCAAGGAACTTGGTTGATTTAAGTGAAATATATTTTAAATCTGTTCTTAAAAGTTTGTATTTATAAAGTAGTCCTGGATATAAGGCTATGACGTACTTTACTTTGCCTCTTGCGAGCACTATGGCAAACTGGATATTTTTGAACTATAACAAATCTCTCTGAAGCATAAAAATTCTTTGGCACCTAATCACATTTTTTAAAGGCTCTACCATATTCCCCACAGAATTCATTAAAGGTGGGGTTCTGAAGTAACATGCTTATTTTTGGATAGAAAATTAAAGTAAATGTGTATAAGGCTATTGATTGGTTTAACTCTCCAGTAAATGGAATCAAAAGCAAGTTTACTGTAATTTCAAAATAATACTGTAGGTATTTTGTGAATTATTACAGGAATGTGGGGAAAATGTTTTTGTTTTTAATTTTGGAGCTGTGATAAAGCTGGCTTCCTCACTGGTCTGGGGAATTATCAGCTACAACATATTAGTCTTTAGCTCTTGGTTCTGGGCTCCATTTGTTCTCCAAATAACTACAGACTCACAAAAGGAAAACAAATACATCCAACTGGGGCTTCCTGCCCAGACACAACTCCCAGGTCCTGCCACTTGGAGTCTTCCTCCCTCAGGGACCAATGCAGGAGACTCCTTCTTCCTGCAGCTTCCCTCTGCAGTCTCCCCTTGACCAAACCACTTGCTGGCTCTTATAATCACATACTCCCTTTCCAGCTGGGTCTGATAATTGAGCAGGGCTGAGTGGCCCCAGGACTCTGGCCTGTAAAGTGGAAAACCACCCTGTTATGGGGCCAAATCCTGATGTGTGCTTAACACCTCCAATTCTCATTGACATCTAGGAGAGTTGCAGATGCTTAGCAAGGCTTAGATTTGGCTTCTAGAGTATGTGTATGTATGTATGCAGAACACATGATGCTGTGTTGTAACATAACTGTTCTCTCGGCATGAGTTAGAGTGTGATCATGGCATTTTCTCAAGGGGCAATGCTCCAAGTGAATGTTACAGGCCAACTTAATTAAGAGCCATAATACCAACCCCACAGCATCTTGTATTCTATATGTTCCACACGTTTAACAGAACTACTATTTTAGAAGTGTTTAGGGAATATGTAACATATATGGACTATTTTTGTATCACTCCACCTGTAAACAGGTTCCCTTAGTCTGTTTCACAGTCACGGGATAAAAGGGAGAGAGTGTGAATATAACAAATATATCTTAAAACCTCTACAAATTACCTAAAATGAATTTTTTCATAGGATATCCAATCTTAGATCTGTCGCTGGTCCAGGTCTGAATATTGCCTATCCTGAGGCTTGGGCCAAGGTAATTCTGAGGCTGAAACTTAGGGGAAAAGAATGCATTTAGGGGAAAAGAATGGGGATTATTGATTGTTGCGTAATGTGAAAAAATAGCTGCTATTTAAACCTGCTCAAGGGTTTGGAGTGTTGGAATAAGTCTCAGAGATATAGTTTAGTGGTCAGAATGGAAGTAAGGCAGTGAAAAGTCCATGATAAATGAAATATTTTTAGATGTGCTTTCAGTTTATTACATAGCTTTCCTCTCTAAATATGGGCTATATGCAATTTAATGTCAATTTATTACTTACGTATTATGGGCCTGGTACTGAAGTCCTTATGTGAGAGAACTCCTACAGAAGACAATGGGAGTTTGCTAAAATAAGAATTGTCAAGATTCGGCCATAAATATGATGATGTGTTGATAGTCTATTAATTTGATCAATAAGAATACAAATAAATGTGTATTCTTTTATTGTAACATTGCACAAAACAATGAAGAATTTTATACACTCACAATTTAGTCTATACATTAAAAATCCACTACCTACAGCAAAGTGGTAAACTTTAATTTGAATTATACTAAGTTATTACGTATAGTTATTAATATAGCTTATAATGATTTTTTCTTTAAGTAGAAACTTTCTTTTCTCTAAATATTTCTAATGCGTGGGACTTTACATAGGAATAGTCTTTTTTTAAAAAGATCCATGCTAAATCTTACTAGCTTTTGATAAGACATGAATGTTATCTAAAATAGGTGTATGTATAATAATGCATAATAATAAAAGACCAAACATACTTTACGGCTGATATTAGTTTTTCTGTCACCGTTGTGCATGGTGATTGTTTGACTTTTTTCCCCCTGCTGTTTAGGTTTATGTTAGGGATAACTGAAATGTGATGAGGCCCAGTCAGACACAAATAGGAATTTTTTAAGCTAGTTTAATACAGTAATATGGTCAACCATCACACAACACTGAAGCTATATGCCAACCAACTCCTGTTCCATTTAAAAATCTTGTGTACGTTTACAATATTCGGATGGAGTATATTAAGCCGCTTAGTAATGAGTAAGGCAAAATGGATATTATTAAAATTAGAAACCTACTATAAGGTATCTTATACATAAGGAAGAAATTTAAATATAGTTCCATCATATCCCTTAAGGCATGTATTCTGATCTGTAGCCTTAGTTAAGATCACTGCTCCAGTGCTCTGAGGACTAACTATGATTTTTCTAGTTTTTCCATATTGGACAATTATTTCTGTGGAAAAAAATACAGGAGATATGCCTGCATCCTTAACAATTTAGTCTTGGTTATTCATCCACATTTGTGGACCACTTACTACAATCATAATTAGGGGGGTTGCATAACTTGTGTTCATTGACAAATACACATACTGTAGTGAAGTAACACAAAAAAGTAGGAAAAATAGAGTAGTGCTGCACAACTGAAAAGAGTATTGCAAAAGAAAATGTTTATAAAACTCAGATATTATCTTTACAGCAACCTATCATGAAAATATACCAGCCCTCCAAACCGAAAATGAAATTTTATTCCCAGTTCCAAATAATTACTCAGATTGCTGGGAAATTATAATTATAGAAGGCCTCTCTGTAAAAAATAAATAAAATAAAATAAAAAATATATTACTATATACTGTTAAGT